CGCAATCAAATTCAAGACTTCAAATATTTTTCCTTAGCATTTGACGAAAGTACAGACATTTCAGACACAGCTCAACTTGTAGTATTCGTTCGTCGAGTAACTTAATCATTTCAGGTAGCTGAAGAAATTATAAATTTGATAAGTTTGAAAGCTACTACAACAGGGGAAGGTATTTTCCACTCTGTTAAAAACTTTATGCGAAAACAGCTTGTGTTTGGAAACTCTTTTTGGTATATCAACTGATGGGGTATCTGCTATGATCAGTAAAGGAAAAGAAGTTATAAAATTACTGATCGATGAAATAGAATCCAAGAATAAAACTAATAATTGTTGCAAAAGAAATGATTTGATTATAATCCACTGTTTGATTCATCAACAAAATCTATGCGCCCAAGTATTATCGATGAATCATGTTATGCAAGTAGTCATAAAAACAGTGAATTACATTCGATTACATGCCCTTTCGCATCGACAATTTATGGAGCTCCTAAAAGAATTAGATTGTGAATATGGTGACTTTGTATATTTCAATCGTGTAAGATGGATGAGCCTTGGAACATGTTTACAGCGATTTCATGAGTTACGTCAAGAAATCGACTTGTTTATGAATGACAAGCAAAGACCAGTACCAGAATTAAGAAGAGATGAGTGATTATTGGATTTATGCTTTTCAGTAGATATCATAAAAAACTCAATCAATTAAATGCATCATTACAAGGAAAAGATAATTTAATAATCGATGCATTTAATCAAAGCATTTCAGAAGAAGTTATTGATATTTGCATATCAATTGAAAAATAAAGTTCAACATTTTCCATTGATGAAAGAATTAAAAAATTCAAAATGTTTCAGTTACATCATATGCGCAAAAGACGAAAGAAATAAGCAAACTTGCAGCTACTTTTGAGAGTCGCTTCACTAATTTAGAGAAATACAAAATCTCCCATTAATGTCGATGTCGGTTCGGCCCCAGAATATCTCCAAATGGAACTGATTGACTTACAACGAAATAATGAATTAAAACACATTTTGAAAACAGAGGTCTAGCAAAAAATTCTGTGAGGGGTTTTGGTTCAACTTACACCTGCGAATCGTTTTTTTCGAAAATGGAATTTATCAAAAATAAATCTCGCTCAAACTTAACGGACGAATACTTGAAACATGAATTACGATGTTCAAATACACGCATTGAGATCGACTAGCAAAAACTAAGTGAAAGAGTTGAGAAACAACTATCTCACTAATTAAATAAATTAAACATTATTCAGTCATTGCATTATTATATTATCCATGTTTGTATACATGAAGAATAATGAAAACAATAATAATAATTCATTCTGTTTTAAATTTTTACTCCAATAAATGTTTGTAATGGGTCCAAATCTAATATAAAGATAATACATTTTTATATGCGACCAGCGAGGTTATAATGTTTTTCCGAAGGGTCATTGGGTTGGCCACCTCTAGTCTGAAATATTATTTTTTATTTATGAACTATGAAAACTATTTACTGAAGTGCTACAGAAATTCTCTCAAGCACAATCTTGCAAATACTTTTTTTATATCGATGCCTTAAACATTTTATTCAAATTATCAATTGAATTTCTTTTAGTTAAAGGACAAATATAGTAGCGTGAATTTAATATGTAATTACTTAGTTTTTCGATGCTCTGGAGCTTTTGTCATTCTTGCCGTCCTGTATGTTCAAAAGGAAAACAACAGACAATAACATTGAAGAATTTATTAGAAGAGATAAAATACAACAGACTGATAACTTATAATTTAAAAGTAATTTTAAGCAAAAATATATTATGATAACGCATTCTAAACAATCACAGAGAAAGGATTTTCAGAAACATAAAATAGAAGAACATTTTTGAACGAATATGTACGAGGTGGCAGGGCAGGTGACATCGAAACTTTTCCAAGATTCTTAATATATCGTCTCGCAGTATACAAGGTCATTCCAGGGGCGTAGCTAGAGTTTCGGGGACAACTGAAGAATTTGCGCCCCCTTTCTGTGTGCTAAGAATGGAAAACATTTCATTAAAAAATTTCGTAGCATCAATTTGGCGCCCCTTGGATGCTGCGCACGGAGACAGATGTCCCCCCCCTTGCCCTACCCTAGCTACGCCACTGGGTGATTCTAAATTGTTTTTACGAATTTAGAGGGGTGATAGTACTCATCCAGATGAGCAATAATTTATCAATGTTAAACGAATTTCGCTTACTGCGCATGCCCATAAGGAAATTTGGCGCAATTTTTTAAAAGAAGATAAATACGGTGTATGGTTGATATTGTGTTTACCTGGGCGTAAAATGTTCGGGGTTTTAAAATTTGTTAGGTTGTTAGTTGCTGCATTACTTGGACTATAAATATCGATTGTAAACTACGGAAGTTTTCAAGAAGGATTTCAAAGCAGGAAACGTTACAAGATATGTTAGTTGAATGTTTATTGATTATACGTTTGAGTAATAAAAGCAACTGAGTGCTGACCATATGTTCCATTCGTATATACATTAAGAAATTAAAGAATAAATCCAGTTTAATTTACTGAATTAAAATCAAAGAAATTATTATAAATAATTGATATTAAATTTAACGTTTATGAGCAAAATAAACCAAAATGAAATGAAACAAAAGCAAATGCAATAAGCCCAAACAGCCAAACAAAGTTTTTATAGTACTGGCGGTTGTAAACAGTCTGTAAAACCTACATGACTAACAGGTTTGTGTAAGGTTCCTTATATTTAGTCGTCAGTGTTTCCTTCTATGCTTACGGTACACCAATGAGCATACGCAGTAAGCGGAATTCGTTAACACTGATCAACTTAGTGTGCGGTTTGTCATTACGCAACCCGGATCGAACTACCACTGCTCAGCCATTTGATTGTTCGGCCGTTGCCGGGCACTTGTTTACAAAACCTGCCAAGCATTGACGGCTGTGTGGCGATGACCTGTTTCATGGTGTAAAAACCTATCTCACAACTACGGCATATCGAAGGATTTCAGTATTTTCGTAATTCCTTATAAAAATAAGATTACAAAACGGTTAGTATTTATTTAATCTTTCTCCCTTTTCTGAATGATTAATCCAAAATGCCTATTTCGCTAACGTATGATTGAAGTAACATGAGCTATGTCTGAATATTATGACAACTTTGAAATTTTGGCAATACCATGATTTATAAGACCACTCGTATTAAAATCACATGAAAGTCTAGCTGTCAACTGTAACTGTTTAGTCGACTTTCATCAAGGAGGTTAGAATAGAAGGAGGGAGGGTTCGCAGTTTCCTCCACTATCGGGGAATGAAACTCCACGGAACAAGCGGCGTCCATGTTTGTTACTTCAAAACATTGCAATACGGCAGTGAAACGTACGGTGTTTCTAAGCTGTTCTATGCATGAATTTTCCAGTAAAAATATGTTAAATTTATAATGAAATGCTTTCGCTATTGTTAGTTTTTTGTTTTAAAGTTATAAAGATGATATCCATAATAATTATACTATAGTACAGAAAATTATTAAGAAATAGTTCGAAATCTAAATGCATGTGCATAACATTAAAGCCTTTACAAATTATGTTTCTGCATAATTTCAAGAATTTGTTTAGGTTTTATTAGCAACTTCTCTGGTATACTTTCCAATTGTTTCTTTAAGAAGTGAATTTTCTAATTTATTCGCAATATTATTATAATTTATTAAAGAATCATTTTTACCTGAAATTAATAGCAGATAATTATCTAAAAAAAATGGTAACATGTTGCTTTTTTTTTTTAAATGAAAGTTTTAAATAGATTCTTTTCACAATCAACAACCTTATATCAACAAGAAAATAAATATTAATAAATAAAACAGATTTATGTGAATTCAATGATTTCAGTTTATGCGCGTTTCATATTTATGAATCTCAAAGAAATTACCTTGAATTAAGCTGAATTACAGAAATATACCTATATAAATTTTTGGATATATCTTTTCACATGTTCAATTTGTGTAAATATTTTACTTACGTTTTATCGCTATACTGCCCAAATTTGTAAGCTTTATGCAAAACATTTTAACAACAGAACAGTTTATCTTGATCAAATGCACAAATTATATTCGTAACAGTTCACAAAACTTAAGAATGAATAATAATTAATACATAAAGAAAAGCGTTGCTTTATTTAACACCTTTACAATTCATAAAAATAGTAACAATTGATTTCTTACTTTTCATGAAAATTATAAAACGAATTATCTAAACGTTCAAATTATACAGCAAGCATTTAATCCTAGCATATATCATTGTATGTTAAGGAACGAAGATACCAGCTGTAAGCAAAAGCATTAAAATGTATTGTATTTAACATGTTTAGATTATTATCAAGTCTTTTTTGTCACATCTGGAAAGAAAACAACATGACATTGTGACATTTTTTAACATATTTATGAAATTACATAAAAAAAAAAAGAAAATACTTACGAGTGAACAGTAATCCCAGGAATATTTTTCGAAAATCTATTTGTGCATCCATATGCTAATATAAGCAGACATGCTTCAAAAAGAAAAGGAAAAAAAAAAAAAAATGTTACAATTACAGACTTCCTTGCACAAGTCACAGTGATAACAGTAACATGGCCGCCAAGCTTCACCGTTTGAGTTGAACCTTCCCTCCTTCTATTCTAACCTCCTTGACTTTCATAGCGTTCTGAGTAAAGATACGTGATTTATTGTTGGCTTTTCACTAAAAGCTTCCTTTAACATCATCAGGAGATCAAACCTGGAATAACTTGGCCTGCAAGTTTTTATAAAAGCAATAAAATTATACAGTCCCTTTTTCTTCGTTGTTACGATCCTTTTATTAGACTGCTTAATATCGCAAATCCGTTTTAGACAAAATATCCGCTTCGAAATAAAACTAATACTTTTAGATTTTACAAAAACATTATAATAGCTGGCTTTAAATTTATGATGGAAATAGGATATTAAAGAAGTTCTTATAAGTTAATACCTTAAATATGGACATAACTGGCAGCATGCGGTTTTGCTTTGCACCATCATGAACATTGGCCAGCCGTACACTGCCAACGCATAGTGAAAGTAATGCGTGATTGTAAGTACTTCCTCCGCTACAGCCTATGAAAGAGCGAATATTACAAATATAACAATTATAACATATAGTAAGCAATACAAATAAAGCTTGATTGAATACTAAAATGAAAGCTGAATGATCATAATTTTTATGAATATAGTTCTAATTATATTTTAAAATTTAAATATTTGTGTAACACATAAAGAGCAGTGCCTAAAGTTCTGGAGAATTATGTATCATATTATGATTAAAAAGCAAAATTACAACTTACTGGATGCGTTATGTCAAGGAATCTTGTAGCTGGAGTAATTGGAACTCCTGACAGAAACTGGTATGTATCATCATCTTGCTAAAAAGAACTGAATCATGAATAATTTTTTTTTAACAACGAAATTTAAAATTGAAGTTAAAAGTGAGAATACGTGTAGGTAATTGCAAATCTGAAATGCATGCTTTACAAATCTTGGTGAAAATATTCCATGTTTATCAATCTCCTTAAGATTAAAATGCAAATTCTAGAAATATTTTATCTTATATTAAATAAAATTATACTCATGACAGATGGAGTGAAGAGAGAAATAGGAATAAAGCTGAAATTAAATATTGTAAATATACTCAGTTTTCATTATATTAGATGAACAGCAAAGTATACATAAATACGTGTGCATATATAATGATGAACATAAGTGAAGGCACACTTTACATTTTCTCAATGAAAAAGGGGGAAAAACGGTGAAATTCATTATTTTTATCAAAACATATATCATTTATATAATCTTTCGAATATTATAAAGCTTACTACAAAATGCTAAATTAAAATTGATGAGTTTACAAAAATAAATAGAAATTTCAACCCATCAAAAGGAAGGATAGAAGGGAAAGCAAAACCGTTTTTGGCAACAGCCTTGAGCTATTTGGCATGGATTTCACCAATGTTTCATTGTTTCAGAAGACATTTTGTCCCCTTCCTCTGGGAGAAACCGTTAATGCAGTCCGCATTTAGTACATCATGTTTTCTTACCCTATTGTCAAGTTCTTTTTATAAATGTTCAATGAGATTTAAGTCAGGGGATTGAACAAGATGATTGAGAGTGTAGGACGTATGATAGAGTAACCACACACTGACAATACATGCCGCATGCTTGTGATCATTCCCTTGTTGAAAGTAGAAATTGTTGCATAAATGAAACTTAAGGACACTTGCTGAAGATTACATTTAACGATATTCAAATAGTCATGCCGGTCCATTGTGCAATCAAAGAACATAAGATACCTGACACCTGCACACGACATGTAGCCCTATGCCATCACTCTTTTGCCCTTGTATTTCAATGCTACTTGAACATGCTTTTCTCGAAGTTCAGTTGTCGGTTGTCTCCAAACTTAAATCCCTTCACTGAATTAATAAGAATTTACTTTCATCGGAAGACGATGCATTCGACCAAAATGCACTATCTTTATTTAAATGCTCTTTTTCAAAACGAAGTATTCTTTTTCTTTCGATTAGTTTTGCTTATATAAGGTTTTCTTCTGGTTACGCTAAATCTGTAACCAGTACAATGAAAAATTCTGCGGATAATTTTTAAATGAATTACTTCGTTAAAGTCTTCCTTGAGTGTTGTTACGAAAGCATTTGAAGAAAGTTTTTTACTCACTTTTAACATATTCTTTATGGTGGGCACTAGCCGTTTTTTAAGCTTTCGCCGCTACTTAGGCCAGAAATTGTGGGCATTTTATTATGGAGGCATCTAATGGGCGGCCACCGTTACCTCCTGTGAGGAGACAGACAATTTACATCCATGCCCTCTCCGGGATTGGAAACTAAGCCCTACTTTAACAATATTGAAATTTTTTTTTCTCTTTGCTACTTATCAGCTTTTTTGGACGGCCACTTCTTGCTGCATTTACCACGCTACCATACGATTTGAAATTTTTTATCACAGTTCTTACTGTGTATAAACTCCTATTCACTATTTCACCAATTTCTTTCTGTGATTTTTTTTTCTGTTTACATAAACAGATGATTATGTTTTTTTCTTCAGTCGCCATTTCTACATTCTTACTAGCTATTTCAAAATTTCGACGAACTAATCAGAAGTAGTCGAGCTTACGGATACGGATTATGAAGTTGTTTAAGGGGGCTTAGTAAGCTAGATAACAAAATTAAGCCTCTAGGTCATATCACTCCAAGGACGGTTGAGAAGGGTAAGGAAGGGTTGTCTCCTGTACTGCATGTGTACCAATCAGATGGAGAACGACGAGATACGAAATTCACCCTGCGCAAGAAAACAAGTAAAAGTCGGCAGTCAAAGCTAGGTTACAAAGTTATGGTCTCTAAGCATGTGAGTAGTAAATGATCTGATTAAATTATTCTGCTGAAATGATTTGGTAACTAAAGACATTTTTAAAATTTGCAGCATCACATCTAAATCCAGTTTTGAAGGAACGCTTATTAAAAGGTTTGGTAATGTGGTACACTATAGAGTTGATTTTCAAGTCATCATGTATCAGTTTGTTTCTAATCAGGTAATGAACATTTGCAATTTTTCTCAGTTATCTTATTCTTTTATACCTGAAGTTTATGAAAATTGGCCTTTGAGGCTGACGCCCAGGTTGCAAATGCGAGCATCGAATTGGCCTTACAGTGCATAGGTATATCCTTCTCTTTTTGCTGAGAGATAGTCCAGATTAATTTCCTAGGGGTACAACAAATGTTGGGTGGCTTTTCCTATGACGTTCTTGATACGACAAGTTCATGTGAGCCTTTAGCTAATGATAACCCCTAAATAACTTGCAGTATTTACATGGTTCACAGTTTACTCAAATAAGTAGAGGTTGCTCAATGCTATCTTCGGAATCTTGGTCCTTCTTACCAGTAGGAGCTTAGACTTTGAGGTGTTTATACTGTTTCTTCATTTCCTTCAGCAGCTCTCAATATCTAAAACAAAATACTGGAGTTTGGAGATCGCATTATTGGGTTGGATACAGCTTAAAGTTACTGCCGTATCAACAGCGTAACAAGCTAACATAGACTTATGAACTAATTTATCTGTGGGAAAAATCGATTACGTAAAAAAAGTAGAAAATGGGCCCAAGACAAGAACCATGAGGCTCTCCTGTAGTAATGTTGTTGAAGACTGAATAGACATTTCCTTGATTGATACTAAAATTTCGTCGGCAAGGAAGGAATTGAGGAGAAGAATAATTTCCCAACTAAAGTTTATATTGATTAGTCTGTGGATCAAACACTTATGCCATACGCGGTCAAATGCTCCCGCCACGTCTAGCATAAGAAGTGCCGTGCATTTCTCATGGTGCAGGACAGTCGGGAAAAATTCAATCAGCCTGACTGGTTGCTTTTAAGTAGACAGTTGCTTCCTGAATCCGTATTGATCGGAGGGAAGTAGTTGAAGATATGAATTCATCCTTTTTAGGATAATGCGTTTGTAAATTTTGTTGAGAATGAAAGCACACTTATAGGGGCGGAAATTTGGTGCTGTGCTTTACAGACATGGCGAGAACAAAGATCTTGTCAGCTTTACAAGACTGGAAAAATATCTTAGAGTCAGGCAGACATAATTACACTGATTTGTCGATAATATTAGAAGGTAAATTGCGTAACGTGTTGTAGGCAATTCGGTCAAGGCTCAAGGACTTTTCAATGTCCAACTTATTTATTATATTTTGAATTTCACCAGTAGTAATGAAGTCAGGTATAGGGCTTGCTGAGGGAACACAAATCAAAGAATAAACAAATTCATCAATTTGCGTGATTAACTCTGCGTCCACCAGTGTCACGTTACGTCTGTTCAGAGAAAGTTCTCATTTTGTCAACATCTGAATACATAGCAGAGTTCGCAGCACAAATAGGCTGATTACACTTGTGTTTGTTCTTAAGAGATTTGATAAATTTCCTCAAGAATTCATCATTTAGCTCTATATCTGCAATTCTTTCTTCCCACTTTTCAGTACGGAATTCCTTTTTTTTAATCTTCTTGCTAAGGCGGTTTAACTCCGTTTTGATAGCCGGATTCCAAGTAAGCTGCCATTTACTATGTAGGCGGTTTCTTATTGCAATAAGTTGCTCTATATTTTTGGAGTTTTCTTACAGAAGGCTTTAGAGTCACCGTGCTTGTGGCTTCATGATAAGCGTCGTTTAAGCGCAGGGTAAATTTATCAGTTATTCTATCGATATCAAAGTGATTTGAGAGGCCTTTGCTTTTAAGCGGGTTAAACAGGATAAGGGGCTTCAGGATATTATGAAAAAGCAGCCAGTCTATGTGGGCTTTGACCTTGGTGATTTGAGTTTGAGATACCCTATGCACCTGTAATCAGGATGTGGTCCAAAACAGCCGTAGTATCTATTGCTATAGACATGCCATAGTTAGGAAGGATTAAGTCGAGAATGGCAGGTTGTCTTCCTGGGTGAAATTATCTATATGTATCTTCCTCAGGTGCATAGATTGAGATGGAATTATTGAGGATAAACTCATATAAGGCCTTGCCATTAAAATTAGTGCTTCTACAGCCCCAATCAATGTACTTTTTATTTATATCTCCGCCGAAAGTGATAGGCATGCTCTAAGGGATCATGGAGGAGAAGACACATTCAGTTAGCTTGTTGTCTGGAGGGTTGTACATTGCAGCGAAAAAAACGTCTTCGTAGCTTGGAAGAAAGACAGAAACCGTCACAATTTTGAGACCTTTGCTGTTGTCCTGGGAGATTAGGAAAAAGGAACTTTATTGTTTACATAAATCAAGACTCCGCCACCTCTGTGCTGGGACTTGTCACAACCACAGGAAAGGTAATTCAAAGTTTTTAATTCGTCACTTCATGTTACGTAAGTAAGTAATGGTTTCACAACAGAATCTGTGGCTTTGAAGGTAAGCATTTTTTGGAAGATTTGTATAAACTCGCAAATCCCAGAGTTCCTGATATATTTTACAAGGGCTTGCAAGTATCCTAGACCTTACTGGCGTCACTGGCTTTACTGGCTTCTTCTAGGAGTAGCAAGGGCCTCGGCCTAGTTTTGTTGGAATTTACACAGTCGGAGTAATTTCCAAGCCTGGGTTTGTCGGAGTTTGTGAGTTTAGGAAACACTACGCGTAGGAATCTGCTTCTCTCCTGTCAACTGACTGGAGTTTGTAAACATCCTCTGCGATTAAGTCGAAATTTCGTTCCATAATTCAAATCCAAGTTCAGAGCCATGGAATTTCAGTAGCAGATAATAAAACGATACAAATGCCGAACCACAATGAGCTCGCAAGGGGGTTTTGCAGCAAGCTTGAGGCAAAATTCCAGACACCAACTTTTTATGGGCAACTAATACATATACGCAGGACAGAAAA